AGTCCCCAAGGGGATGTACCAAGACTTAACATTTTTATTTAACTCCTTGTCTTTTCCTTTGTCAAAGGTTGTCAATCACGGGTTATCGGAAAGTGATAAAAACGTCATTCTTTCACTTCGCGAGAAAAAAGAATTTTCATTGAACCAGATTCTTAAAGAATTTCCATCCCAGAAATTGGAAGAATTCTACTATTACTTACTTTTTTGAAGATACTCAGTGAAACTGGAAATGAAGCTCGTCGTCCGGTAACAGGTAGTCCAAAAACTGCACGAACAACAGAAAACATTCAAAGTGTTCGTGAATTGATATTGAACCAAGAATTGGAATCCTGGCACAAGCAGAAGTGAACGAGAAGTGTCGAAAGCAACGGGAATTTCACGTTCATCAAACAGATGAACGTGAAATCCCCGTTAGATCATCAAACAGAAAATCAAACACGACCAGAACCTGAAAATTTTCAAGCGAGTTCCTGTCCATGAGCTGTCCATAATAGTCTGAAAGAAAAGTCTGGTTATAGGACGAGAAGCGGTGTTGAAACCCCACTCAATATACAAAATGACAGTGTTCATGCTTCTGTTCAAAGAAAACGTGATGTTGCGCCAGCCCGTCTTTTGCACGAACGCAAACACTTCTCTGCTTCATTCATGGCTTCACTTGCTGCCTTCCTTGTCAGAGAAAAACGTCGATCTTCTTCATTGCCCACGGGGTCAAATTCAACGCCTAAAGCTACTGCGAAGACGTTTTGACCACAATGTTGGCCGAAATCAAGGAGTGAAGCCAAGAGTTTCTCTTCCAGCAAGATGGAGTCCCAGCCCACACAGCCAAGGAAACCGTGGCCTTCCTTAAAACGAACTGCCCAGAATTCATTGAGCCTGAAAATTGGCCACCTTGTAGCCTGGATGTGAACCCCATGGACTACTTCTTCTGCTCAGCCTGGAGCAGAAAGTCTATCGAAGTGGGAAAATCCACAACGTTGAGCACTTGAAGGAGCGGATTTGTGCTGCGTGGGATGACCTTCCGCAGGCCTGGATCACAGAAACCATTTCAAAATGGCGGAAACGATTGGATGCTGTAGTGGATCAAGAAGGTGGCTACATCGAGCATTTCATGGAAAATTCAAAAGTTGGCTCCATTCCTGCTGTAGAAAGATTACTTTTGTTTCACCGTTTGCAACTTTTTTTGCGCATGTTTTTCCAAACGATCGTGGCGGCCAAGCGATGGCACCCATGACGAGGATACCATTTGATAGAGCATGAATTGACCTTTAATTTGGAACTATTTTCCACTTCCTCGCTTTCGAAGTTTTTGAAATATTGTAATTTAAAATTCGGACCAAGAACTTTTATCCCACCCCGTAAATAGACGATCGACAGTAGCTGACTGACAACTATTCACATGCTGAGTTCAGGAAAAATTATCCTTTTGGTGATACATGGCACAGGGGCACAACTTTTCGGAGAACATCTTTTCAAATAGTTCTCTTTGCTTCAATCAAACGGAGACACATGAAAACGGAGACACTTTTCAAGAACGTGAATGCCTCAACACTGAGCTCAAATGTAAAAAATTTCCAAAATATTTTCAGGGGGAATATGTATTGGGGACGTAATGTTTTCAATGAATTATTCATATACTAGCGAATCGGGTGAAAATTGAAAAGTAGCAGCTGGCGCACGCATAACGAACGTGATGTTGATTTCAGGAAAACTTCATCTTTTGGTGCGCGTCTCCTCAGGACACAGCTTTGGGTGGGTCGCTTTTCCAAATACAATTTTTCCGCCAGCAAAAACAGGAATCATTAAAGGTTGAAACTGGTCGTCATGGAGTTCCCTAACTATACATTTCAGAAGAAATAAAATCTTCGTTAAAACCCATGAGGGCACCTTTCTCCAGCCCCATTTTCCTTAATATTTTTTTCATCCAACGAAACAGAAAGAAAATGTAAACTTCCCTCAGAAGTACCTGTTTGCTGAGCAAAGGAAAAATCCTACATTTGAAATGTCCCCTTAGCGAAAGGAAATATTTATAAATGTAATATCCGCCCATATAAAAAGGGACACATGAAAAAATTTCAAGTTTGGCACACTAGAAGTAATAGATGTAATGATTTTGATGAAAATCAAGACTTTCGTTCCCATATGTCACGTATTCAATAGGGACGTACTTTATTTACGTGTTTCCCATTTCGCAAAAAAATGAATTAATCACTAACTAAGGTAATAGAGCGCCGAAGACACTACTAGACGCCGAAGATGCTATTTTATTAATACATGTTGGTACTTGCCAAACGGACGTTGCTATCGTACTTAGAAACAAGTGATTTCAGTCTATGTCCGTCTTTTAAACGGAAAGATGATTTAACCTCTAGTAATATATTTACAGATCGAAACAAATCTTTGTCATATCTACATTCACAGCTTGAGAGTAGCCCTATGCACATGTACTCTTATCTTTATGGAACAAGTCTTAAATACCAGTCCCGATATTAGTGAAAAAGTGGCAGGGTGAGAATGCATAGGCGGGAGGGAGAAAGAAACTCCTGGACTCCCTCCCCTTGGCTTAATTTTTTTTTCAACATAGAAATGCATACTTGTCGGCTGGCGATAATAAATGCATTCAAGTTTGCAGGTTTGCTACCATGCACGTGATCCATACCCACATGAAAAAAAATAACATCACTCAAATCAGGACCCCTTGTTGGCCACTTTGTTGGTCCTCGCCATTCGAACCATTTGTGTGGAAAGTTGATATCCAGCGAGTTCCAACCAGATGAGTCATGTTACTTTTTCTTTTGGCGATGGGATTAAAAAAAAACATGTGTATGGCAGCAAACCTGCAAACATGGAATCCACGGGGGTAGTGATTCTCAACCTGTCTGATTCCACGGCCCACCTTTAGGACCGCAAAGTTATCCGAGGACCACTACAGACTTAAAAGCAGTATACTCATTATCATACATTTAGTGAGCAAGTTTGACTTTGATGTCGCTCACTAACTTCTTGAATATCGGCTCGATGTTGGATATGGGCACACGAGGGGTTGTTCTTACATGAAGTCCGTTTCTCGCCTTTGTTTTCGTAAACACCATGACGGAAGAGGTTGACTCACAGAGGTTAGTTGACGGGAAAAACAAAAGTTGCCTGACAACTCGCTCAATTTTGAACATTCTTTGCTCTTTACTCAACAAAATAGTTGTTAGTGGTAGATTGGAAATTTATTCTTTCAGGGCTCGATTACTGATGAGTTCAGTGTTGTTATCCTCCTCCCGTGCAGACAGCTTATTCTCCAGATTCCCACAGTAGGTAAACGTTTCGACCTCCCACTTGAAGCCCGTTGTTAGATCGTCTTCAGATGGAAAATAATGTTTGAATATCTGAAGAAGCTTTTTCAAATGTTCTAAAATAATATTCAAGTCACGCTTCTTGAAATTTATGTTAGTTGAAAGGTCTTGGAAACCTGCGAACCTATCGAAAGTGTTAGTGCTGACTCTTTCCTGCTATTCTTGTAGCTTTTTTTTGAAGGTCTCAATTTCAGTTGCCATCCCTTAAAAAACAATCCATTGGACCATGCAGCTGAACAGTTCAGCTCATTTAATAACCTAAATATGTCCGCCAATCATGCTAGCTTGACTAGCCACTCGTGATAGTTAATCAAGTCTGAATGCGAATATATTTTCTGTCGCAGGAAAATCTTGATTTCGCAGTCGAGTTTGTATATACGAGCCAGTATTTTCCCGCAAGACAACAAATGTACTTCCGAATGCCGCAAGAGATTTGAATGTTCAGCACCAAGCTCATCCCAAAGTGTCTGAAACAAGCACGAGCTCAGTGGATGAGCATTATTAGTAATGTTCACAATCTTCACACAGTTAACATCGTGTTGAGTTCCGAAGACATTTCTGGCTAGCATCTCACGGTGGATTTCACAATGTGCCACTTGCATCTCACCAGCAAATAATTTTCCAGATCCACGCTGTCGCACAAGGCTGTGCGCATATTATGGAAGCTGCTCCATCGGTGCAGACGCAACACATTTCCTGTCCAAATCGTTTTCCCCGACAAACAAGGTATATGCAAAATTTCAAGGAATGAAGTCATAAAAAAATAATGGAAGGTACTTATAAACCTATTGCGGTTTCTCCCTTTAAAGTAATCTTCCTCAGCATTAATACACGGTTGCCTTCGTCGCTCATGGTTGCTGATGCAACTTCGGAAGTCATTTTCGGGAATAATGTTTGTTAACTCTGTCACAGCCGCTTGAAAGGGTGGAATGTCCACGATGACCCTATAACCGCGATGACCATAGCGATGGCCCTTTATGGTTCTTTTGAGCCGTGGGAACAGAAAAAGTTTGGTGGTGACAAATCAGGATAATACGGTGCATGAAGCAAGAGAGTGACTTGTTTCACGGCCAAAAACTGTTGGATAGAGTCGTGTGTGTCGGCGCTCATTGTCATGCCAGAGAAACCACTTTACAACTCTCAGGTTTGCCTTCATTTGTCATTCGCCCACTTTATTAGGGCGCATTATTTAGTTTCCAACCTGCTAGGTCTGCGAATCAATTCAGTTTTGTCTTTGCGCGATCCATTCAGGCATTTCCCCAAACAGTATGCCAAATATGCCTCTGAATATTGTAAAAAAAGACCATCTCTTGTTCCCCTTCTTTACCCTTCATGGTTGCCGAATGAGGAAAAAGAACGGTGGTTCTTACATACAGTCGACAAATATAAACGTTCACATGTCTCTTGTTTTTTTTTTCCATTAAGGCAAGTTCTTTGTAACTGTGTCTCAAGCCCAAGTCTAAATTCGTGTGAATTGTTGAGTCCTTGAATGAATTTCTAGGCACTTTTTTCTTCCCAATTTCTACATTTGTAGCTGCAGCAGAAGTGAAGCCTGAATAGCATGATACATTCCCACTTTCTTGTGGTAATAGAGCGCCAGGATTTCCCTGAAGTCCCTATCTGCGTAAAATCAATATGACGAGACCAACTTCCAGGGACTGGTAGATTTATTGAGAAGATCGTAATTTTAAAACAAAACAGATAAAATTTATAGAAAAAATATGTGCTTGCAAGAGGCAGAATGAACGAGAAATAGGAGCGGAAAGCGAGATGAGAAGCCTAGCGGGACTTCTCATCTCCGGCGTTGCAAAAGTCCCAATCGCAAAAGCATACATCCCAGCCATCTGGAAATCCTCCTTCCGGTCCGGTCACGCACCCTGCTGCATTCCATTCGGAGCAATTCACGGTTTGGAGTACATCTGCGGGTTAAAAAAAATTGCGTAGAGTTGATCAACTTTGTCAGGGCGTTGCATGAATTTTTCATAAATACATCGGTGGATGAAGTTATTTCCCCTGAGAAAATGTTGATTACTTTAAACCATCATGAAAATCTTTATAAACGCTCCCTCTCCCCAAGGTTGAATTGCTCGCCGAACTCAAATTGAACTAACTTAATCCTGGTGGAAAAGGGCGTATTGAAGTTTCATGAATGAATGCCTACTAAAGTATTATTATTAATAAAACGTTATTGTGCACATAAAACAATGTGCACGGAGAACAAATCTCTCTTGGAGAAGTTATTGATGACGTGGAATTATGGTCCCGTTTAAACTCATATCTTCAAATTCGTTAAATGGAGGTTTTCATTTTCCTGGAATCGGGAGGAAACTGGATCTCCATGAGAAGCAAAAATATTTTCGAACTTTCTTCTATATTGGCAGGTAGATTTCATTAAAATTTCATTCATTCATTTAAAGCTTTATGTAAAGGTTTTTGCTGAATGTTTCTGGGAGGCAAAATGGGTGAAGTCAAGAAAGGGGTTATATGATCGGCATATCCTTGCTTCCTACGTGCGGTTTTCATTCGTCCTAATAATATACTCATCCGTGGTGAAACTTGTCTTATTAGGACTGCCCTAGCGTAACAAAGGAAACATCACGTGGGTAATTCCTTAATTTCTCAATAAATGCGAAGTGTGAGGGTTTAATTGCCTGTTTTTAAGGGAATGGCAAGAAAACGTTCAATACAGAATATGAGAAATGCATGAAGTGCTTACTGTTCTGATCCCGGTATTCTCCACAATACCAACTGTTACCTGGTTGGACATCACCCTCGCAAGTCATTTCGTGCCACATTCCTTCGCACTCCACTGCATCCCCGCAATGATAGCAGCGTAAGGTAAACCCATACCCTATGGAAAAGAAAACGAGCAGGGTTAATGACAGCTAGACGCGTCCGAGTCACCGTGAATTCAAATTGAAAGTAATTATTGTCTACTAACCGACAAGAGAGACGAGTCCGAAAAACACATGAAACTTCATGGTGAAAAATCTGTAAGAATCGAGTGGTGCACATGCGTGAAAAGCAGGAACAGATACGTACATATCCAGCTACATCTGGTTTCCATCTCCAGTACCACGTGCTATGGGTTTACGTAGATGAAATTGATTTCAAGGAATAAAAATGAATACTAAATAGCAAAATATTTTTTTCCCCAGGCTAGGGAAATAATGGAAGAGAGGGAAAACCTTCTCTATTCCATAAGAGTTTGCCAACGGAGAGGCTGGTGTAGTCCCCTCCCCATATTTGATTCCTCCGGAAAAGTATTGTTGTGGTAGAAGGCGCAGAACTCGTCAATTTGAAATTCTCAAAAATAGCTTTAATGTATGTTGAGGGTCTCTATGGGGGCAGGTTATTCCGAGATAAAAAATAAAACCAATGGACGGCATTTTCTATCGAAATGTAAGAACTAACGTAGAAACACACCTGTCGGTCTGATATAGTGAAGTGCGAAGGAGATAATCGTCAATAACGTCACCTGTCCTCTGCATCAAAGTGGCCAACTAATTCCGACGCGGCTTACATTTATCCCATCTGCGAAATGGTGAGATACATGAACATTAGGAGAGGAGGGCTCAGAGATCATAGCCCGCCTCCCTCAGAGGTGAGTGCGCATGGATAACAGAACTTGTCTAAAACCTCCGAGGTATTAGCTTACAGAACTGCTTTCTGTCCTCCACCGAGGTAGAGAACGGAAATACGGTAATACTGGCTCCTCGAATCAGTTTCCCTTGTTAAAGAATGTGATATGAGAGTTTTAAAAAGAGATGACAGCCAAACTTCTTAGTTTCTGGTCTCTCAGGATTGATGTGCGACTCAAGAGGCACGGCAACATTGAATTGACGACGTTGGATATACATATTTATATCGAACTGGAAATGTTGGGGGTATTGTTAGACTCCCAGCGTATATGGCTTCATCATGCAATTGGATTAAACGTAGACTTGTAAACGTGGAGTAAACCTTGAGAATACAATTTACCTAGACTCAGCGTGGAAATAGGACTACCATCTCCGTGAATTAAACGTAGATTTTACCATGCTTTTTCTCTGTGACTGTCTCCAATGACACCATCCTTCGCAGAGATAGTACTTCTAGTTTGACCACTTGCGGAAAAAATTCTCACACAACAACTGTGGGGCACTAGAAGAATTCACTACGTTAAGATGAAACTGACAAATGCAAACTGGCGAAGACTTGCACGTATAACATATAGGAATCACCCCCCAAAAAAAATTTATTGACATTCAATTCAAAACGAAGACTTGGAGACCTGGAAATGAGTTTAAATGAATGCTATATTCAGTACAATATTGACACATAAAGCATTCATATTTGCTGTCAGCGCTTTAAACCTCTTAAGATACTGAGGAGTTTAAAGGGAAACATTTTCCAATAATTTATTTTGTGACAGATGAGGATAGCAGAGACTCAAATGAATGTGTTCGGTTCGATGCTGTAGTAGTAGTATCTCTAAATGGCAATCAGAAGGTCCGGGCTCAATTCCAGGCAATTCATTGCCTTACTTTTGGCTTTTTTTTGCCTTCCATGTCCCGTTACTCATGCCCACACCGTAACTTTATTTTTGCTTGAGTAAAACAGATAGACATGAAAAACTGAAACTTGGCATGAACATGCCTATCGAGACGATGAGTTACGAAAAAATGAAAAATGTAAGATCCATGCCCTGAGGGCATATTTATGAGAGGCGACGTTTTCAGGTATTTTTTTTTGTCCTGGCGTATCGAGCTAGTTTAGAAAGATGAAACTTGGTACATAAGTACCTGGTAGGATGCTGCAGAAAACGTCCTACTTAAGAAGTAAATGCCCCGGCGGAACAAATGTGAAAGGGAGATGTTTTCAAATATTTTTTGCACCAGTTAAACTAATGAAGATGGAAAGCTGAAATGTTCCATAAATGTTACACAAGGACTTAAATAAGAAGGTTAATTCTCCATGCATCCCTTGGGGAAAATTTTTTTCGAGGGGCGATGTTTTGAAGGAAAAAAAAATAGTTGCGGCGAATTTTACAGAAATGGAAAGGTGAAACTTGGCACTCGTGTAAGTTACATGATATTACTGAGCTGAGGGAATATTCAGCTGTCATAGAGCATCCCCTCCGGGACTCGCTTTTTGGAAGGTCGGCTTTTGTAAACATGTTTTCTTTTTTCACCATTGCAAAGGGCAAACGTATAATGTTGAATATTTATGCGCATGTAGTTCATTGGGCAGACATAGAAAAGTAGCTGGCGCACGCATCACTGACGGGATGTTGATCTAAGGAAAAATTGAACTTTTTTCAAACATCTCCTCACAGCAAAGCTTTTGGGTGGATCTCATTTCCAACTACATTTTTTGCAAAAAGGGGAAACGAATAAGGCTGAAACTGGGTGGCAAAGGGGTTTCCTAAGTCTACATTTCAAAAGAAAAAAAATTTTCCTTAAACCCATGAAGGCACTTGTTTCAGTCGCATTTTCTTGATTCATTTTTTTTCAGCTAGCAAAACAGTGACAGATAATTCAATCTTTCCTCAGAAGTACCGTTTTGACGCCAGAGTATAAGAAAATTTCAAATTTTGAAGTATGTCTCCTAAGAGTACAATATTGCAGGGAGTTATTTCAATAAGTATTCTCCACTCTTACAAAAAGGGATACAAGAAAAGATTTCAAGTTAGGCACACATATAGATAGAATCGCAGAGGTAATGATTTTTATGAAAATCAAGACTTTCGATCTCATATATCACGTATTTCAATGGGGACGTACTTTAAATACTTGTTTCCCACTTCGCAAATAATTATAAATTATTCACTATCCAAGGTAATAGAGCGCCGAAGGTGCGACCATAGCGATTTTAATAATCTAATATCTATTATTAGTCTATAATCTAATTTATATAGACGATCGTGACTGACTAACTGACGCTAACTCTAACCATTTTCCAGAAAGGTTAGAAATCTGAAACTTGGTACACATGTACCTTTTGGGGTGCAGAATTCAGAAAAACTCCGACTTTGGAGGTACATGCCCTGGGGACCCTTCCCGCACACGATTGACGTACAATTTACCTCAAGTCAATTATATTTATCTGCCCCGATTGCACCTGTGGATTTTGGGGGGAGAAGTTTTAAAATATATATATAAATATCGTGATGGATAAGGATGTCATCGAAAGCGGATATCACCGTTTCGGTGGTGTAGTGGTAGCACATCGGACCGGTAATCGTGAGTCCAGGGTTCAATTTCGAAACCATTCCATGCCTTTTTTTTATTTCTCTTGCCTTCCATGTCCCACTGCTTCCATAAAACGGAGAGACATGGAAAGCTGAAACGAAGCATGGACGTTCCTACTGACACGATGAGTTCAGGAGGAATGCACAATTTTAGATCCATGCCCTGGGGGCATATTTTTGGTGCCGACGTTTTCAAGCATTTTCTTTTGTCCTGGTGTATAGAGCTAGTGTGGAAAGATAAAACTTGGTACATAATTACCTACCGGGATGCTGGGTGCAGAAAAGTTCAGATTTTGGAATGAAATGGCCTGGGGCATGAATTTCAAGTAAAGATGTTTTCCCATAATTTTTTTCCGTTAGTTAAACCGATAGACATGGAAAGCTGGAACATTGCATGAATGTGACTACCAAGATATGGAGTTAAAGAAAAATGTTAAGTTTTGATACATCCCCTGGGAAAATTTCTCGAGAGGCGATGTATTGAAAAAAAAAGTGTTGTGGCAAATTGAACAGATATGTAAAGGTCAAACTTTGCAAACTTATAAGTGACATGATATTACTAAGCTGAGGAAGTATCCAGCTTTCATGGGGCATCCCCTCCGAGCATAGCTTTTGGTTGGGTAGGCTTTACCGAGCATGTTTTTCACCAGCGAAATGGGCAAACGTATAATACTGAAACTTTGTGGGCATGTAGTTCACCGGGCAGACTAAGAAAACTATCTGGCGCACGCATCATTGACGCGTTGTTGATTTAAGGATAAATTAAACTTTTTTCATACGTCTCCGCAGAGCACAGCGTATGGGTGGGTCGCTTTTCCTAATACATTTTTTCGGCCAGGAAAAAAAGGAAACGTATGAGGCTGAAACTATGTGGCATGCAGTTACCTGAGTCTACATTTCAAAAGAAAAAGAAAATTTCGCTAAAACCCATTAGGGCACTTTTTTCGGTCCCATTTTTCCGTTTTTTTATCTAACGAAACAAAGACAGAAAATGTAATCTTCCCTCAGAAGTACATGTTTGATGGCTGAGTAGAGGAAAAATACTAATTTTGAAATATCTTCTTAGCGTAGATTATAGAAGATGAGTATTTCAAAATGGATACTCTATCCTTACAAAAAGGAACACAAGAAAAGACACAAGTTAGGCATACATACAATTATAGAGGAAATGATTTTGATAAAAATCAAGACTTTAGACCCCATATGTCACGTATTTCAATGGGGACCTACTTCAAATGCGTGTTTGCCATTTCCAAAGGAATAAATGAAGTAATTACTATCCAAGGTAACAGAGCGCCGAAGGCGCGACCATTGCGAGTTTTTTAGCCAGAAGGGCTAACATACTCGCTAGTATCTACTACATATAGGTGATCGTGACTGACTGGCGCTAATTCTACGCATGTTCTAGAAGGGTTAGAAATCTGAAACTTGGTACACATGTACCTTTTTAGGGTGCAGAGTTTAGAAAAAATCCGACTTTGGAGGTACATGCCCTGGGGGTACACATTTTGGGAGAAAACGTTTTTCTTAAATATATATTGTGACAGATAAGGAGGGCATTCAGAAGATCAACTGGGTAAGCTTGGATCGGTGGCGTAGTAAAAGCATCTCTAACTAGT